GTGTGTGCTGCGTGTGTGTATGATGTGTGTACGTCGTCGTCGTCGTCGTCGTTCGGACTCTCTTTATGCGCGACGCGAGCGCAGCGTATACCCCGTCTACGGGGCCGTGTGTGAGTTGTACACCCGCGATCGCGCCTAGCGGGTAGCGTCATCGTCAATCGATGAAACCGTGTGATCTCTTTTTAACGTCGGCGATGGAGATTGGGATTTTCGGAGCCAAGATGATCGCGCCTGTTCCAAGAGTAGGGTCTTAGTCGAACTTTCTTCGTCGTCTTATTCTTCTCTCCTTTCTCTCTCTCTTTCTCTCTCTATCTTTTTTTTTTCTTCTTTTTTTTCTTCCCTTCCTTTCCGTCGTCTTCGCTGCAACCTCGCTCGTACGACCGCGTCGTACCACCGTGTCGAGAAGGGTGATCTCTCTGTATCTCTCTCTCTCTCTCTCTCCTTCGAGATAATACAACTTGCTATTTATAAGACGGTAATTTCGCGCGAGTGTTCGAATCTTTCTTGTTTTTTTCTGTTTTCCCTTCTTTTTTTTACTAGGAAACAGCGACAGGCGCTTTATGTTCCTTCTCTCGTCAACGATATATCTTGGCTTGGCGTTAGTTCAATTATTTTAAGCTGGATATGCAACAATTACGAGGCTGCGCGTCGAGAAGGGGGTCAACGTAAATTAAGGCAGAGATAGGCGGTTATTCCTTAACGTCGTTTCGTCGTAAGTAGTTAGTGGGCTCGGAATCAAACACGCGTTCGAGTCGCGGAGGAGCACGCGAAACGCGCGCGCGCGACAGCGACTTGACGCGAAAGGTGGGCTTTTCGGCCCGCGCACAGAAGGGAGGGGGGGNATGAGAAGAGAAACGAAAAGAGCCGAGTGCTCAGTCAGGCTGTGAATGTAAGGTCTGAGCCTCGGGCGCACGCTGACCTTTCTTCTGCTTCGCTTTCTCAATTCTTTCTTTCTTCATTCGGCTTCCGAAGTAAACTTCGTGAGACCAAATCTCTCTCCGATCCGCGGGGTGACGTAGTCGCCTCGTCGATCCTGCCGGAACGTAGAACACGGAACAGAGGGAAAGAAAACGTTACATACGACGAGACCTCGAGATAATGTAATATTAAGCCACGCTATTAGTAATTTATAGGTGATAATGTGATTAGAGTGATGCACAGTGTGCGAGAGGACACGACGTAGCGAAGTGTGTTTCTTCCTTTTTTTTTTCTTTTTTTTTCTTTCGTTGAGCGACTGTTTCGGAAGCACGAGTGTGATCGGAAGAGGGGGGGGTACCGAAGGTCACGAGCCACCGTCGTCGTTTCCGAGAGCCCTTCCGTAGTTATTCGAGAGTTCACCGTCGACGCGGCCATAGTTTGCACGAGAACGCGGAAACGAGTCGCCAAATTAGTCAGACCCGAGTTAGCGGTGTTGTAATAAGTGGAGTATAGACTTTTCTCTCTCTCTCTCTCTATCTCTCTCTTGTAAGATATATACATAATAATTTAATATCGAAGTGATAGTTTAGTTCTTAAAGACGTGTGTGATATATGTTTAAATGATTCCAACTTAAACGAAGGGAAAGAAACAAACAATAAGAAAGGAAATCGCGGATTTTAAGAACTCGATCGATCGACCCTGTCGTCGCATAGACGTCGGGATCCGCCGGGATGCTTGCGATCCGGCTGGAGTTTTCTCAGGGCGGAAAAGAAACGTTGCTCTCGCGAACCCGAGGTACCTCTCTCGTTCATTAATTGTTATTAACCCTACTCTTTGTACTCCTACTATTATAGATTATCTTCATCTCGATTTATTCAGATCGGTTGATCGTAAACGCATGTCAAAACGGGCTGACGGCGCAGCAAACAAGAATAGCGCGCGTGAGGAAGTCCCGGCTATTTAACTGTCGCGAGTCGCGCAAAAGAGGAGGAAGAAGAAGAAAAGAAAGAAAAAAAAGAAGTACAATGAGAAACGGGAAAAAGTTGACACACGTTGATCTTCAGTGGGTGCATGCATGTTGTACTGTAACTTCTCCATCGATCGACATGGAGCGTAATATCTAAGCGTAAATATTTTTTTAGACACATATCATCGACACTCTCATCGTTAATTTTTTAAATCAGACACACACACACACACACACACCCACACACACACACACACCATACGTCTCCATCGCGTCGCGAAATTTAGTTAGAACACACAGACAATGAAGAACCCGGTTGATCGCGCGTTTGACGACCAATTTTATACTCTGACGAATGCGAGCGCTGCTAAGAGACGCGTCGTGTCTCGCAAGCTTCGCGAGCGCGTCGCGATTATCGTGTATAAATATATTTTATTACAAACACGTTTCAACCAAATTAGGCTCGTTGATCGTTTAGACTGTAGATACGTGGATACGGGCGAAAGATGCTGGAACATGTAGTAGTTTTCCTGAATAGTCTGTTGGATCGCACCTAGAGATTAATTATTGCATACTTACACGGTTAAGTACAATCGGATGCGCGGTTTAGGAGAAATATCTGTTTCCTCTTTCTCCCCCCCCCCTCTCCCCCTCCCCACCCCCCTCTCTATCTCTCTCTCTTTCTTTTCTCTCTCCGCGATGCCTCCGCAACCGGCGGCGATCCGTCCTCGTTCGAGCGCGACGACGAAGTCCCGGCGGCCCGCTTCGTCCCGGACGGCCGTCGAATTCGACGTCGCGGCCCGAGTCGTTCGTGATCAGCCGGGGAGACGCGAGATCTCGACGACCGTTCCCGTATGTCACGTGTAGCACGGAGACGCGGATCGTCCGACTAGACCTGTCCGTCTATCGGCTATTCCGCCGCGAGGACACCGGGAGGACGTGACGCCCTCGGCGCGCGAACGCCAAAAGGAAGAAGAAAAAAAAGGATGAAGAAAAAACGATGCGCTTTCTGCTCTCTCTCTCTCTCTCTCTCTCTCTCTCTCTCTCTCTCTCTCTCTTTCTCTCTCTGCGTGTTTGCGCGAGCGATCTTTTTTCTACACCGAGAGTCGCGCTTGTGTCAACCGATGGATTTGCTCGTGTCAAGTAAGTTTGTATCGTCACAAATCGATGTGCTCAGTTTTAGTGATTGTCCCCCTCGATCCTCCCGAGACCCCGCTCCTTCGAGACCGCCCCTCCCCGCCCTCTATACCCGTCCTCCCCCTCGTCTTTTAAGTCTTGCTTAAGTGTGTGCGTTCGCTCGATACGAGAACTTGCTGTCATATGAGAAATGATGATAAAAACCGTACGTTGTTCTGTATAAATTTTGTACTATAGTTTGTATTAAACAAAATACATTGTTTATTGCTTGAGAGAGCAACGCGTTGCTTCCTTCGGTAGCGTCACTATCGATCGCGAAGCGCGGACATGACCGAATTATCCGTTCTAGTGTTTATCAACAATTTCTTTTCGTGCGTCTTCGCCCGTTGTTTTATTACGTTTCACACTTTGTCGTGTACACGATACCAGTGTGATATTGCGTGAATCAGCGTGCGACCGAGAGGAAATGTTCCGAAGTTGTGCGGAGAAAACAATGGTAATGGAGAAGCGATCACCGTGCATCGCGCGTGCCATGCAGAAATTCTCCTCTTCGGGACACGCTCTCCGTCACGAGCGTTTTCGCCGAGGTAACTGTTAAATTCAGTGATCATGTAATTTCTCCTTACGACGGACACGTGAAAATGTATCTTCGAATGGGAAAACGTTCACTTTTCACGAGTTCACGCTAGAGAACAAAGTATCGATCACGTAATTTTTTTCCTTGCGGCGGGAACGTGAAAATTTCCAATGTTTTTAAATTAGAGAATCTACACTTTTTATGAATTCACGCTAGAGAAGATTTATTATAACCCCCTGAGAATTGATCACAAATCTGCTCTAGCGAATTCATGAAAAGTGTAGATTTTCTAATTTGAAAACATTTCGAACTTTCATGTTTCCGTCCTAGGGAAAAATTACACGATCGACATCCGGAATATGCGAGCTCCTGGAGGCCGATCGTGAGTCTAGCGTGAACTCGTGAAAAGTGGAAATGTTCGAATTTGAAGGCACTTGGAAATGTTCACTTTTCACATTTCCGTCCTAGGGGAAAATTATTTGAACGTAATGGATGTTCACGAGTTTATGTTATCATAAAGATGGGTGTACACCGAGCGAATGAATGAACAGTGAAGGAACAACAAATGTATAATTTGAACGCGCGTTTTCGCGTCTAAATACGCCCGAACTTTTTATTGATGAACCACCTCACGAGTAAAAATCGGCTTGAAACTTCTATTCAGATTCATAATGACGTATGATCAGTCACGAAAAAAAAGTTACACCCTTTCCTTCGATGACTTTCGCATGTCGTATCCAACAGGAAAGTGTCTCTTGATTAATTCCAAAAAAAACAAATTGGACAGGGGATGCGTTCCGAAACTTATCCAAGAAGTGCACATTTTCCAAATTGTAAATGCGACAACTTGCAATTCGCCGTTCGTCCGCTCAATCAATGCACACCCAGCGAACGCTCTCACCTGTGCGAATTATTTCTGCTTTTCCGTCACGAGCTACGGTTTTCTTGTAAACAGAATAATGCGACACGTGTATTTGCATCAGCCCGTGGTACCCGACAAGTCGGGTCAGTCGAATTGGGCGTCTATCTCGAAAATCGTCGATCCGGCGCAGAAGGCGAGCTTCGGAAGATAAGCCATCTCGGGACCTTTCATTCGTCGGGCGTACTTCGATCTGTACGGGCCGACGTCCAGACTGTAGACGCCGCCTTTGACGAGCCTCACCATAGCCTTGGTCTGAAACAAAGTTCTCTCTCGTCGAACTTCTCATCGGCTGCGCTTCCAAACGGCATTGAGAGAAGTGTGTTCAGGCCAGATATCGGCCACATTCAGCAAAAACGTTTACTTGTTTAATCGTTGGAAGATTTTTTCTGCCCCGAGAGATCAGATTATTCCTGTAGATCTAAGAGAATAATCCAGTCTTAGCTCGGGAAACTTCCAATAGTTGCGAAGCAAGTGTGCACCGCTGAATGTGGCCGAGGAATTCTGCGCTGTCGGACTCACGGAGTGAGATCGCAGGTCGACGACCCGGAAGAGATCGGTGTCGCAGCCGCCGCACGCGACGACCGTGTTCGACACGTATTTCCCGGCGTACAGCAGAGAGGGGTAACTGTCGGGCTCCAAGCTGGTGATCAACCTGCCGCTACCGTAGTCCCACATCTGCAGCGGCTCGTTCCTTTGCCAGGCGCAGGTGAGGATCTGCCGAGAACTCGAGTTCGCGATCACCGTGCGCGACGCTGCAAGGAGGAGAGCGAGACGAACCTCTCTACCGTTTCTGCTGATATCCAGACCGTCCCCGCACATGTGGACACCCGATATGTACCGGCGGGAATGGGCCTGTCTGGTGTCCCAGAACTGAACGGTGTCGTCCCAGCCGCCGCTGATCAGCTCGTGCGCGGATCTCGGATGGAAGCAGGCGCTGAACACTCTGGACTTGTGGCCGTCCATCACGTCCGGAGAGTCGCTACGTTTCAAAATCAGCGTGCCATTTTACGTCAGAATGCTTTCTTCCTTTGTGGAAGGGAACTTTCTTATTACGATGTCAGGAGTTTTCCCACACACACGATGGCGACATTTCGCCCGGAGAGAGAAAGAGAAGCTCTCGCTTGCCGGACTCGCCAAGTGACAGCTTCTTCTTTTCTTCTTTCTTTTTCCTTCTTTTATTTTCATCAAAGTCACCGTCTCGCACACGGTACGAAATATTTTGTACTTGTGTTAAAATCGGTCCTTGTTAAAATTTTGGTGTGGAATTTTTAACACACCCGTATGTATGTTAACATATTGTCCCCGATGGAAATATTTTACTGGAAATTTGCTGAAATGCATTTGAAAATCTCGCAATTGATTCCACTTGCGTTATCATTTTATCAGTATATCGGTAAAAAATTACTTCAATCGATGTTTCAGCGATTTTTCTTTAAAAATTAACTTTCCTCACATTTCATATTACATTGCATTTCATGAGGGAAAGTATGACTCATTTCTGTATATATTCAATAATTGTTCACCAACTTTCATTTCACTTTTTACAGATTTCATCATATTTTCGGCATAAAATTTCCATCAGGATTGTTCATGTTGTCGCAACATTTTGCGTTAAATGGGTCGATATTCCACATGCCTGAGTGTTAAAATAACACATTTTATATTTCAGCGTCAATTAACATATTTAATTTTGCGTCCGTTTTCCACGCAATGTTCACAAAACTTCGCGACGTATTCACCTCCTGTCAAATTAACCGCAAAAATTTGCCCGTGGACCGGTGGTTTGGGACAAGTGGAACGCGGTGGTTGAATCTGAGACGCGAGATTTTCTGCGGTCATACCTCCCGCGAAACACCCTCTCTCGGGTCTTCGTTTCCTCGTCGTACAGGCACAGGCTCGCGTCGTCCCCGACGGTGACGAATTTCGGGAGGACGGGGTGATACGCCAGGCCGAGGGTTTGCCGTCCCTCTCGTATCGTGTAGAGGCACTGCGCGGTCGGGTAATGCCAGCACTTGACGCAACCGTTGGCATCTGCGCGAACGGGGATCTGCGGGTCTGAACGGGGTTCGGGCGTGACGGACGAAGGACGAAGGACGTACTAACAAGTCGCTGTTACGGTGTGCGTGACCGGGTGCGAGCCGTGCGCCGGTCGACGCTTGACGGCGGTGGTCGGCGCCGGGTTCTGCGTCATCTCCGTGTCGCACAGGGTCCACGTGTCCTCGCCGGTCGCGAGCCTGTAGAACTTGAGGTGTCCGTTCATCAGCCCCGCGACCAGAAAGTCGCGGCTCTCGGTGTAGCAGATGCAGAGCACCTCGCACTCGGCTTCCCTGCAAACTGTTCACCTTGCGATTCACCCCGCGAAAACTCCGCGAGAAGACGGTTGGTACTTTGGTGAACTTTTTCCAAGTTAATCGCTCGGGAGGGAATCACAGACACCGCGATTTCTTCCCGATGTTTGAATTTTTCCGCTGACCATTCCGAGCAGGTGACGTCAAATGACGTTCTGATAACGTCTTAATGACGTCTACATGTTAGTGAGATTGTTTAGTCTATCATAGGATTTTCTTTATATCTGTTGTAGTTTTTTTTATCGACGAAAAGAGGAGAAATTTGCAAGAAATCGAACTTTTGGCTTCGAATGTGACTGAAGAATCATTCCTCAAAAGGATGTCTTCGTAAAGTTAATAATATCCTAAGTAACAAGATGACGTCTTAATGACGTCAATAAGACTACAATTAACGATGACGAGCTTCACAAAAGTAATATTTCGAAGAATCATCCTTCGAAAGGACATCATAAAGTCAATGATGTAGTCAACAGAAAAATTCAAAAATTAGTTACGCCCCTTAAACGCCGGGGGTGTGCGATCAGAATGATCGATTACTTATTGGATATCGCATACATTTGATTCATGATGTTGACATTGCCGACCAACTTGTAACGTTGCTCCGTTTCCGAGCGAACGGTCTGTATCGACTTCAAGGAAACGGAGTGATTGTCGTACTCTGCGATGGAGGACGTCACCGAATGTGTAGGTGTCACATCGAAATTGGTTACTGCGTCGCCATTGCGCTTGGGAGGATCGAGAACCGTATCGGGAAAGTCCTTATTCTCGTCCTCGTCCATGAAGCGAGCTTCGCGTACGGACTTGTGCGGGTTGAATTTTACGACGGACCGCAGACACGGTGCTTTTTGTAATTTTGAGGTGTCACGATCATCGGAACACACGTGAGGGAGATCATTTCGCCGAGAATAAGGGAATCGCGATAGATATCGATTCGTCGTCGCAAATTTAAATCGACGATCGCGCTCGATCTTAATAAATACGCTGCGCGCTGAATTTTAAATATCATTTCTCGCGAACTTCAACGGGCTGTAACTTCGGTGAAGCTAACGATAACGAGATGGAAGCATCTTGCAACTTGAAGTTTCTAGTTATTAGATATATTGCGGATACAAAGTTTACTCTTTGTTTTACTCTTCTGCACGAAGAAAGTAAAAGAAGGAAAAAGAGCGGCTGACCGTCGTCGAGTCGTATCGCGTCTTCGATTCTCTGTTAAAAACAGCAGCGACTCGTAGCGGAGACTTTGGAAACTAAAAACCCCGTAAAAAGTCTTAATCGTGACGAGTCGCCGAGACAATTCGTTTCTTAGCCGAGATGCGAGACATTTAGTGGAGATACCCAATTTACCGACTACTACTTTTTCAACTGTAGTTACACAATCTCCGAGGCGCCACCAATTCGTGCCAAATCGAGATCGAGTAGTGCAACTCAACGACGGGTCAGCCAGGCCTCACTTTTCCAGTAATACGACGCGAAGATGAGTCAGAGAGCTTTTATATTTTCACCAGAGTTCAGCGACAAATCGGGGGACCTGTTGTTTTTAGTATTTAGCGCGACTTTTACGTTCACCTGTAACGATGCTCAATAGTTTATCCAACGAACTATTTGGCCAGCATTCAGAGCGCCCAAACACTGTCCGCTCGCGCTTTTCGCGCTCCGTTGTTAGCTTATAATTTTTCCTCTGCGAATGCACGCACAATTTCTCACTTCCGTCTCGCTCGATCACAGACTTAACAACGGACGCTGGTTATTTCCCAGTGTGAACCGTCGCCCGTATAGAAATCCGCCCGCCGTGGAGGCAGATTTCCCCGAGAGAGGGAGAGAGAGAAAGCGGCGCAGCTCGAAGCGGCGCAACACCTGCGGCCATTTGTCGAAAAAAAATCTAACCTGCACGGAAAATGACCGTGTGTCATCGGGGGTGTTATTCTGGTCTACGAGCGATAACAACAAACCAGACGAGCATTGCGATCCGTGAGGCGTAAGTGTTGGGGCATCGTCGGCCGAGCTGCCGTCCGTCGTTTCGTCGCGAGTGGCGTAGATACGCGTGACAAAGGAACGACGAGAGCGAGAGGTAGAGAGAGAGAGATAGAGATACGCGCCGATAGTCTTCGGATTTTCGCACGGGCAGCAGATTTTCGGGCGCAACAACAGCGCGCGCGAGCAACTGCGCGCCGATATCGGAGTCACGCGCGCGCGCTTATCCTCGCGCTGCACTCGCGAGATGCGTCGCGGCGATTTTCATTTGCTGGGCTAACGACGGTTGCGTTTCACCTTGAGGAGAAATCCATTCCCATGATATCATCGCGAGACCGTGCGTTCGCCGATGTTGCATTATGCAATATTCGAGATCGGCCGTCGCGTCGAAATTGAAATCTCCGTATCGGCCCGTTGGGTGAGGCGACGCGAGCGGTTAATCGGCAAGTCGGGGAAATGAAACATATGCTCGGGACTCTCGCCGAGATCCCTCGTGAGATACAGCGCGTGTAGCGCGCCTCGTTGTTATTAATGTTCAGGATAACGCGTCAACAAGGATAGAACGCAAGTAACTACGCATATAGACACTTGCTCGTGGCTCGTGGTGGAAGTCTGAGGTGCGGTGCGTTCTGTATGTCGATCTTCTTTCTTATGTTGAAGGTGCATTCAGTAATGTCATCGATCAACAGTATCGACTCCCACGGGACGTTGCAGTGGGACATGATGGAGCTGGCGCGGCACCTGCGGCAGGAGAGGCTGTTCGTCAACTCCGAACAGCAGAACCTGCAGACTCTCAATGAAAGGGTGAGCGACTTGTGGACATTTCGCGATATAATGTAGGATGTATCGTGCAATAATCTTACTTTATGCACGTGCTTGCCAAAGAGAGACCATTTCAAATCTGCTGGAAGAATATTGGAGTTTAAACTTGTGCGATGTTGTTGAAACTACACGCCCAATAGCATTTTCAGGATAACAGCTCCGGCTTCTGAAGCAAGTCGAAGTTTTTCTCGGGCGATGCTTGTAGCCTTTAAGTGGCGCCACTTCCAAGTCAACTTTTCACAGCTGACAAAGTTTCAACTCTGAGATCGTGTTTAGAGGAAAAGAGATCCTTTCTTGTATTTTCGGGTGACTGAAAGTCCGACGTTTCTTTCGGAAACACTTTTAAAAGAGAAGCGTTTATGCTTTCTTCGCTTTCTAACACTTTCCCGGAAACTGGGCCGCGATTTTCCCTCGCCAAGTCCCATCTAAGTGATTTGAAACGGTCCGAGCGTTTTCCATATTATCCATGAGTTTTAACCCTCTAACAGCAAGGTAAGGTCAGATCGACCCTGTAACTTTGTTTATCTCACAGCATGCGTGTTCTGTTTCTCTTCTCAAGGAATATTTCGTATTATTGTTTACTTTATTTACTTCATTCTGCGTAAAAACGGAGCACGCGAGAAATGAGCAAAACAGAGCCTGGTGTCGGAGCCGACCTCATTTTCCCGGATGGGAAACAATCCCGGTTGGAAGATCCACCTTGCCATTAGAGGAGCTAATTGCACTGCCTCGCGAGATCAATTCGTTCACACGATTTTATTAATCCGACAGCGGTGTTACTGAAAAGCGGAATAATTTCTAGGTGTTGTGCGTGTCGTCGCAGTTGGCGCAGCAAGCGTGGGTGACTGCCCAGCAGAGAGTGAATCTGAATCGTTTGATAGTAGCCCGACCAGATTGCACTCCCGCGTCGTGTTGCCTGCGGGCGAACGCATTGGAGAACTCACACTTCATCGACGCGTCGAAGTACCTGCGTTACCAGGCGTGCTTGTCCTACGGGGAATTTCTGGGGGCGTTGCGCAAGTCGCCGAAGCTCCTGGCTTCGTGCTTGGTGGAGGGCGACAAGGTCGTGCCGGATTCGATGCAGGCGATCGTGCAATGCCTAGCCGCCGGGTTGTACGGCAGCTGCCTGTTGCCGGAGGACAAGAGCTTGGTCCTCCAGTTGCTGAGGCATCTTATGCTGCTGCAGATCATCCCGTCCGACAACCCACGAAGGCTGCTGCGACACGGCACGTGCGCGTTCTCGCGATTCTACTCGATCTTCCATGAGAGCCTGTTCTCCGCGAAGTTCTTCTTGACGGCCGCCCTGCACAGCCCGATCGTGCAGTTGCTCATGGAGGACGAGATGTTCTTGGACATCGACCCGGACAAGGCGCCCATCCGGTTCCCGCCCACCGAGAGGCTGAAGAAATTCGGGAAGGAGGGCACGCCCGAGTACCAGGCGAAGCTCCAGCGTTACCGGCTGTGGACGGTGAATTCTCTGTATCGCATCACCCAGCGATTCATCGTCAACATCCGCGAGACGATGCACTGCTTCCCCACGAGCGTGTGCTGGCTCGTGAGACAAATGGCCGGGCTGCTCGGCAAGAACGGCAACGTCGACCCGAAGGAGGTGCACGCCATGTGCACCGACCTCGTGTTCACGTACTTCATCTGCCCGGCGATAGTGAATCCCGAGCCTTACGGCATCACCGACGCGCCGATCAGCTACGTCGCCCGATTCAACCTCATGCAGGTCGGACAGATTCTGCAGATGCTCTCGCTGCAGAAGTACCAGAGCATCGACAGCAAGGTGATCGATCTTTACAAGAAATTCGAGAAGGACTCGGTGTCTTCCATAATAGACTCGATGCTGGACGGCGCGACCGAGGAGCTGGACGAGGAGCCGACGATGATGATCGACAATAATAAGCTTCAAGGCCTGTCGCGATCCGCGGCTCTCTTCACGGAAAGCGAGCTGAATTCCCTGATCACGTTTCTCAGCACGATCGTCGGCTACAACAACGGCGAGGCGATGCCGCACACGAACACCTTCGACAGGAAGCAACTGGCGGAGATGCTGTCTCAGTTGCCCTCTGGCTTACTGCATAACAATAAGCTCGGCAACAACGAGAGCTTGGAAACGCCCAACAAGCGAGGTGTCACTGTGGGAAAAGGTATATTTATTTATTTATTTATTTATCTATCTCGTCCATTCGCGGGAAAACTTCCCTTTGTTATACGTAATTTGGAATACGCAAAGGCTTCTTTATGTTTACTTATGAATCGATCGATTTCACCTGTCGTTCTACGTACAAAAGTGTACACATGCATTTTAATATCGTACTATTATTGCAGCATCTCTTTCATATATTATTCCAGTATCTCACTGATTTTAAACTGATGCTGAAATGTCTTCTTACAAATAGGAAAGGGACGTGGTATAAAGATGTCCGCGTCGTTTTCCCCGAATGTAACCAACGAAAGCGGAGAGGAGGTCAACAACACCCCCGCTCCCGAAGAGGAGAATTTGGAAAAGAATACTCAGGATGTGCTAGTCATCCCTTTCGGTCCGATCATCGGCGAATCTGTGGGGTTACTCAGTGAACAGAAGGTATGTGTGCGAGCGCAAGTGTTAGAAGGTCACATATTGCTTTTCTACACACAATATCGTGTATTTAATAATGTTATACGCTGCATACACACAGTTGATAAAACTGTCGCTAATATTATGATTTTTTACCTTCAGGTCTTGTGCATGGAGCTTCAAAGTGGTACGAAGAACGGGCCTGTCACTCTGAATCTCCCCGATGACGCATCTGCCGAACACACCAGGCAAGAGAGCGGCAACGTCGAACGTATCGAAACGCAGGAAAAGAGAACACGATTTTCACTGTCACATGACGAAGGTATATCAATTACTGATATTAGGTCACGCCGATTGCATCACGGTAGTGGCATTCTTTTTCAGAGAATAGCTCCCGATTGACTAATATCTATTCGCGCGTTTTGTTAAATTCATCTTTGACAACGCGCTGTATTTTTTCCATAAATAATTTATTTTATCTTCGTTATGTTAAGGTTATACAATTATTTATTTATTATATTTATATATAACTATTTTTTATTGTTTATTATTATAACTATATATCTTTTACTATATCTTATATATATATATATTAGATTAATTAGATTATATGTTATATACTAGAGATTGGCATGAAACGTAACTCCGCTATTGTTTGGCTTTTATAACACATCTACATTAAAAATAATTAGTGTTGTTCGAAGGGTCGATTGGCAATACGTCTGACAATCTGGAAGCCGTGTCGGAAGCTGCTTCTAATCACAGTGTTGCCTCGTCTCTCGAGTTGGAGACGGAAGATCAGAATGATAATCTTTCAGACATGGTGTCTGCTAACGTATCAGGAAGAGGAACCCCCAATATATCAGGTACATTAATCTCTTTGTACACCGAGCGGATTTTTATATTCTTAATATTAACCACGAGTTTCTCGCAATTTGTAAATCACATAATAATCCTGCATTACTATCTCTCCAGGTCGAGATACACCGTCGTCCCAGATTACTGAAGGAGACGACGGACGTGCCGCGGGCGAAGTGAGGCAGTTGGATTTGCCGCCGCCTAACATCCCGACTAAACAGAGCCGATCTGAAATCGACGACAAATTTTGTAAATTTGAGATTAAGAAGCTTATCGAAGGTAAGCACATATTGTACGAAAATACATGTGCAGGTAAACGTAAAGTGAGACAAATTTCCTCCATTGAGATTATTATTCATGTATATATTTACACACTTATACGTGTTGTGTAAACAACGTATCGTGCTTTTTATAGGAGACGAAACTGTTTCTATGGTATCTGACACCTGGTCCACGGACGTGTTGGCCTCGGATAGCGAGATAGTCGAGCAACAAGATCGGATGCCGCTTCCCGTTCCTCCCGAACAAGTCCCGCCCGTTCTGCCGGCCGAGCCTACGCCAACCATGTTGGATATCAGCGAGACCGCGTCTGAAGCTTGGAGTACAGACGTGTTGGCCAGCGATTCCGAGAGATTGACCGAGGTAGACACGGATGACACCGCTAGTGTCGCCAGGTATCCTATCGCACTTATTATTACATTAAGACTGCTGTTCTCGCAACAATTTCGATTAATGACGTTAGAAGCGAGGAATTGGGAGCCTTAAGGAGGTTGTCAGGCGAGTTTGCTAAGAATTCAATGAAACTTGTATACTGAAATATTATCTAATTGTTCCTGCAATGAGAAAGAAGGCCGACCATTCGAGATTTATGATATTTGCCGAAGTTGAAATTTTTTATATGTGTTTCTTGAGATCAACGTGCTCCTTTTCATTTCTAATATTAATATCTTCTAAACTAAAAATAAGACCTCGGTGAAAAATTGCTGTGATATGAAATACGATATTTTCGTATTTGTAACATTGCGTGTACATGTCTACCTCAGCTTCATTTCAAATTAACACTCCATGCATAGGTAATGAAATTAATGCATAAGAACGCAATTTTGCTTGACAGACATTCAATTAAATATTTATGAATGGCCCCCTTGATGCGCTACTGAAAATACGAGCCTTACAATCCTTAAGTCATTCATCCGATTACCAAAACTCCCAACTCTCATCCACTCCCGGCGTTCTCGACACAGGTCTGACGATACAGCTCGATCGGAGATCGAGATCGAGAGTCGTGCCGATTCCGAGGGAAACGAAGAGACGCTTCAGTCTGCAACGCCGTGTGAGTAAAAACGCGTCGTCACTCGGTTGTACCCGGTGGAGCTCGGTTATCTCTCAGTACGCGTTCACGCACTGTGAATCGCTCAGTGATTCCAGGTCCAGATGGCCCGGGTGTCAGTTTTCCCTCAGTATCGGGTATCCGGGAGGAATCCGGCACACGCGCCGCAGCGGCGGCTGTCGCTCCATCCCCGACGGCGTCCCCGTTACCGTCGTCGTCGAACGTGACGGGTCGCGGCGGCACCAAGTCCGATTACCGGCGCAGCACGATGGAGTACGTCGACAAGAACGCGAACAACATCAATAACGTGGATTACGGTAAATCGTTGCGAGAAGACAGGCTGGTCCATTTGATAGATAAGCTTCAGATCGACCACGGTAAGCATCAAGTCGAGCGTCCGGGAACAGCGCACAATCACATCGTTGCGGCCGCAGTTGCGCCGGCGTTACTCTTAGCTAATCATATTTCTGCGCCTGTTTTGCCAGAGAAACCCCAGAACGGTGACGCGAAAGCGGAGGTTTGTATCTCTTCACACGTGATCTTCCTCTCTCTCTCTCCCCCCTATCGATCTCCGTCATTCTCCCTTTTCTCTTTCTCTCGCGGTGTGAGTAAGTCCAGGGTCTTAATATGGCACGCATACTGACAATTAGGAGCTGGACGGCTGCATGGCGTCCGTCGGGGACGCCGTGGGCCGATTGAGCACGGCCAGCTTGACGTCCAGCAGCAGTTCCGGCTCGGAGCCGCGCATGAAGGGCAACGCGTCAGCGTCGGACCTGCCGTTACCGGCGCCGACGGTCAACGGCAGTCGCGACACCACAGACGGCTCGAGTCCCAGCTTCGCCAAGCCGAGCGCCTCCACCGGGGCCATCCCGAAGAGCATAAGCTTCGACATGACGGCGGAGCGCGGCGACAAGGAGCTGTTGGACGACGATCAGAAGAACAAGCGCGGCTTCTTCGGCAAGCTGAAACTCTCGCTGAGGAACCGCAGGGGCAAGGCCATCCGCGGCACCGACGACAGATGCTACGACCGTGAAGCTGGCGGCGACGGCGTCGACATATGCCGGCACAGGTTACGCAGGATCATGTCGGAGGATGTCGCTGCGGCCAGCAACGTCACGGGAGGTGAGACATAACAGGGTGAAATCGGGCATCTGAAAGATTTCACTTGTTTCTGGTGATACGTGAAGAATGTCCGGGAATAAAGTTTCGTTCGAAGGGGCGATTATGACGACAAAAAGCGTTTCTTCAAGGCCCCCCCCCCCTTTTTTTTAAGATTTCAAGGTCGACGTAATTTTTTTTTTTTTTTTGTAGAACTACGTGTCTTCATTTTCGCGATTTTATAGCCAACAGCGAGAGGAGTTCAGCGATTGATGTTAATAATATGATCTTTAAGTGATCTTGAAGATGGAAAATGATACATATTATCGATCTGAAACAAATCTTCTCATTGACTTCTCAGACACCAGCGACGACATACTGGCGAAGTACAGGAGGAAACCAAGCGCGACCAGTGACACAGCCTCGGTCGAGAGCAACCAATCTCGCACGAAAGAGGTGGAGGACGAAAGGCTCTTCATCGATCCGAATAACGTGGAGATGTCTTACGCTTTTGCGGATGCCAAGAGGAAACTACGTATGGTGCTCAGCACCGCAGATCTTCAGCACATTCCGTGGAATACTTCTGAGGTATTGCCTCTTAATCTCCATATTATGTGGCATGTATATGCGACATCTGACTCTTGAAAACAATCATTCGGATTCTTTTTATATGACGAATATTTATTTTTCCGTGCCACACCAGAGACACTGCTGGCTCCAGAAGGAGAACGAGCTGGTCGCGTTTCTGCAACTGCAACTTGCCGAGGCTATAAATCTGCAGGATCGGGCGTTAATTGCCCATCTTCACGAGACCTTGCGTTGCGTGCGACTATTCAACGACGACGGGTGTAGGAAGCTCTTCAAATCTCTGCGCGAGGACTATCAGAAGCGATCCCCTTATATCGCGTATTTAATTCGATGTCGCCAAGGATTGCTGTCGACACTAGCTCACTTAGATAGGTAAGATATCGTCCCGAGTTTGGCAAGATTAGCGAGAACGAACAGTCGGATCCCATTCTCTTTGTAATCAAATCTCCTTCAAGTTTTAGTTGAAAAATATATATAAGGAGAAAGTACAATTCTAAAATATCTGATAGAACAAACTTCTCGGAATAAAAGAAGTTTTATTGGATTTCAGCCGGAAGGAAGTTTCTTAAGTTTCTTTAAATAAGCCACATTTAAATTTCAACAACTTAATAGCAGGATGTGTTTAGCTGCCGATAAAATCGTTGATTTCTCATCTTAAAATTCGAGATAACTTGAAGATCCGACGGTGACGGAGGAATTTGGCCGGCGGCGTTGTTTCCGCGACCGAAAATAAGAAACATCCACGCTGGCTCGAGTTATTTGACAACGGTTCTTCTCGTCAGCTTGGTGCAATCGATACGGTTGTCTAATTACGATATTATTACCTTCCAGGTTATGCGTGCGAGTCAAGTGCGACCGGGACGCTGTCAATAATCATCTGGTGTCCGTCTGCGTGAGGGTATTCCTGGAGAAGAGGGAGGCTTTCGTTCTGCGTTTCTGCGACGAATTCAAGAAGCTCACACTGGCCGACGAGAAGCAAGACCTGGTGGATAACTTCCTGGGCAAGGTCCACGCCGAGATGGACAACGATCCGATCTGGCAGTGTACGTGAACCGGCCCCGTCTCTCGGTCGTTGCTTTTACTCACCGACGGAATTAGGAGGTGCCTGAACCTGTCCCTCTGCATTTCAGCGGCGAGTACCGGCCAATTGGATCTGGCGAGAGCCGTGGTGGAGAGGACCGTGATGGCGCGGGTGTACCACAATGCGCTGTATCCGAACGGCGACGGGGATGTATATAGGGACCAGCTTCTCCACGATCACATCAAAAAGTTGGCGAAGGTGGTGACTCCAAATCACAAGGACCTACGCATTCCGAAGGTCTATCATTACGAGTGCCCCTGGCCATGGGCGCAGGCTGAATTGGCTGTGATATCGGCGTATAAGACTCCTAGGGATAAGCTGCAGTGTGTATTCCGTTGCGCGACTACCATCATGAATCTCCTTTCTATGGCGTCGGAAAGGGGAATACCCGCCGCCGATGACCTGATCCCGGTGCTAGTCTACGTCATAATCAAGGTGAGTGCAGTTGGCAGAGAGAGAGAGAGAGAGAGTTCGCGCGCGTGACTCGCCGTCGTTTCTTTTCAGACTAATCCACCGTCGTTGCTATCGACTGTCCAATACGTAGACAGCTTTTACGGGAACCGCTTGGAGGGCGAGGAACAATACTGGTGGACGCAGTTCTGCTCGGCGATTGAGTTCATTAAGACGATGGATTAACAGTTTCTCAGGAGTATTACGATAAATGCGATTAGACCCAGCACTGGTGATAATGTAGAAATGTTGTATCATAATCATAATTTGGCGATTAAAGGGGCGAGAAAGGCGAGAGAAGGGGAGGGGGAAGGACACAGACCAATATCTCGTGTAAAGCTAGCTGAATAGTGACTTCATGCTTCCGGTATCTTGATTATAACTAATCTTAAATAGCAGTCTAACGATTACTTCTTTCGCACGTATTACGTAACATTAGCAAAGACTGAATATCAGATTGTACGTAAGGTATGGCTTTATCTTTATTTGTAACTCTATTGTACAATTTCACAGAACATCGAAAGAAACGTTTAGAGATATTATTATTCTATAATTTATGTGTGTAAACAATACAGAAACTTGTAGAATTGATAACCATTTAGCAGGATAAACCGTGTTGGACTACTCTTTCTACATTACGCATCCCTCAAACACCGAGAATTAAACGAGGTTCGCGAAAAGAAAGAGAAAGAAAGAAAGAGATATCGTATTTGTAGCAATCCCGCGCAGTCTTGCTCAGGATATATACGTCAGGTATGTTGATAATCAAAGAGGCCTATCCGAGTTGATTTTGATAGGTACGGCAATAGGCCTTCTAGCTTTTCTAATGAGGAGACGTCTGGAAGAGTTCCTCACCGATCTTGACAGGCTTTACATATGTGTACAGTAGCTAGAAGTAAGAGTAATTTCTTTTCATGCGTACTTTCTCGAATATGTAGGGGTCCGAATAATCCCTCCAATTAATATATAATAATAATAGTCAATTATATATAGTTGATTAAAAGCGAATATCTTGGAAATCATGACGCAGTTTACGAGAGAGCACTTACGCAAAGACACGTTAATAAATACGTGTCTCTTATTTTTAATTGTTGCACGACATACGCAAAGTAAAATGAAATTTGCAGACGTTTTCTTATCCGTCGCGATTATAAATTTTATCATTTGTTGTCGACAGGATCTATATCATTAGTTTTATCATTATTATCCAACCTCCACCATCTATCATCGTCACTATCATCGTCATAAACATCGACACTATTATCATTCTTACTGTCATTGTAATATATAACACTATACTCAATAAACACTTTTCTATTATTCAAATACATGATATATGTACATAGCTGGAGAGAAAAACTCCTCAGTCAGAGGACTCGTGGTCGAGCAGTTCGGCCTTCGATCCTGTCCAACATCATCATTCTAATTCCTTCTTTAATTTACGTATTTTTGTCTCACCAATTACATTAACGAGCATGTACGCTTCTGACAATAACAGGTGTATGTTATAGAACTCATTTTTATAAATGAGATTATTCACAAACGCGTCGAATAAAAGTAATGGTCAAATACTTAACGATTCAGGCGGACTGAAGTTAAAACATGGTAAATCGGCACGTCAAGAAATGTCTCTCAGCGTTCACAGTGCAGCAAGGTAGGTGCACCTTCGTTAATGAGTAATTTTTTTCCAGTTTTGTTGATTGCGAATATGTAAAAGGATGCGAGGATTTTTTTTAATTTTAGAAGACATTAATGCACACGATTGAGTAATAATTTTAATTTTGGATCTTGTAATGTTGCCCCAAAAATTTTGTTGATATTGGAGTTCTTATAAGGCGGCAGGACGAAAAAATCCGGACTAAAATTAATATTTTATTGTATCGTTTTCTCCTGCAAGTATAATTTGTCGTGTCTTTTTAACTTTGCAAAGTGATGGCAAAGAATTATATAATATTCAAGATAAAAAAAGAATATATTAATGTAATATCGATCTTAACTAATATATATATGTACATTTTCAGGGATGAGATCTCGTCCACAATTATACATCGATAGACAAATATGGACACAGCAGAGTGGAAGAAAATTATTTTATATGTATAAGATTATTATGTATAAAATATATATTTTACACTATGTAGGATTGTATTTTAAAACGTATTAAGAATAAAAATTATTTAGATTCCAATTACGTTCTATTTTATTATTTATTACTTTCCCTCTCATATCCTTCATTCCTGATATTGATTCCATAAAGATTTTAATTTTCTTGTCGGGTATACGTAACAGCTCTTCGCTCATTATATTCTCCTGATACCAAAATGTGAAAAATTGGCAAGAATGACAAATCAGCTCAAATTTTCAAATTCCCGCCGGAATTTCGTGATACCTCCTCGCTCATTCTATTCTCCTGATAATGAAACGTGAAAATCGAGACTGAGAAATTTGTTTAAATTTTCAAATTCCCGCCGAAAATTCGTGATATCTCCTCGTTTATTATATTCTCCTGATACCAAAACGTGAAAAATTGGCGAGAATGATAAATTAACTTAAATTTTCAAACTCCCGCCGGAAATTCGTGATACCTCCTCGCTCATTCTATTCTCCTGATACCAAAACGAGAAAATTGATATATTGAGAAAGAGAAATTCGTGAAAGTTTTCGCGTAATTCCTGGTTTGCATTTTAGTATTAGCAGAACATAACGCGCGTAAAAATGTAATATGAACTTCCAGCGGGAAATTTGGAAACTTTCGTAGATACTGATGTTACGCAATAACGAAAAATCCGATGAGACATCTCACAAGAATTGCGGGATTCATGAGGAAATGGATCGTGACACGATTTGAACGAGTATAATATCAACACTTTAATGTAGCAATTTAACTGATACACAAGTGATTCGTTCTTATTTATAGTAAACAACTAGTAATAATTATCACTTACAGTAAATATGTATAAGGCGCAAAGCAAATAAAAATGTTTTCTTTCTTCTTATAACACCTCACGATCACCATGTACACAACATTAATATCTTACCGGTGTTCCGCTGTCGGTACGAGAACGCAAGGGAACGGAGAGTGCGCTTTGATTTTCGTATTATTCGTTTTGTACGACGTTAGCATGTATTATCACACATACGTTACACCGCGTCGCGTGTTTTCGAAGAAACGAAGAGAAACGAACCGACGATAAAACAACTGTGTGTCCCGAATCGGTGAAATTAATCGATGTAACGAACGATCCGCGGATTGACACTGCTACAGTACAAAACTCAGTCGCGCAACTTTCGCATCGGCCGCGCCGACGATCGCGTTTTCTCTAAGGTTTCTTCGAATCCCCGAGACTTTTACTCGACGCGGAATTTTATCGCCGATTTGTATCGGCACTTGTGTGTCACCTCGACAACTTGTCCCAACAAACGAGGGAGATGTGAACATCGGGGGAACGATATACTGGTGTAAGTGTTGGAAGGAGCAGCTTTCAGGACGCGGTTATGCGAAAGTTTGACAAATCGTCACCATCGAGGTGAGATAAATACAATACGACAGAACACGTACTTATAGCTTGTACACTTAGTACTTAGCACCGACAGTAACACATGCGAAAGTAACGGTAAGTTACACTGTTCGCGAAAAAGACAGAAGGAGCGGGAAGTCGGAGCGTCGAAAGTCGAAACACGTTTAAACGTCGGTAATGATATCGGTTCGGAGAATTTTAAAGGGAAAACTTTCGAAAGAGAGATCACATAGCGAAATCACTTTTTCTGTAACTATTAAAACGGAGGTACCGTAAAAACACCGAGAGAGACGTATTAAGAAGATCGTGGAAAAAGATGCGGATCGAGAGAGAGAGTAGGTTTAGATTTACGCGCAAGAGAAAGAGATTTAAGTTCTCTATCGTTGAATGTCTACGTTTATCTTTTTATTTCTTTAATCTTTGCTGCGTCACAATCTACGAGAAAAACATCGGCACTGGCTCGAAACTTCTGTAATATTCTAATTACGGACTCTTCCGTAGTTAACTTTCATGTTTGTTAGACTTTCGAGTCGCGTAGCTCGCGAAACGGCCTCCGGAATGCTGCGATCGAACGCGAAGTGATTACGAACGAAGCTAGAAGTCCGAATTACGAAGCGGAGCGAATGTGAATTTTACGTTTCAACACAGCGGGAACACCTGTGGGAAATAATCGACGAGAGAGGCGATTCAGTGAGGAAAGAAGGAAAACGGAAGAAACGGGCGCGTTCGCGAATCGTAAGTCAAACGAAAGAAGGTACTCGTATAATTATGTGTGTGTGTATGTGTGAACTTTGGAAAAATTTCAACTCCGCGAGAGAAAAAAGAAAAATGCCAAATTATATCAGCGCACTGCGAATCCAAGTGTGTAATTTTACATGCAGTCACTTTTTACGTATTTTCACGCGTGTTAATATTATGATTACATATGACGAATTTTGTAACGGGATGTTTGTAAAAATTACACACTTAGATTTGCCGTGTAATTTTTATATACTTCTTAAATCCTCGTAATTTACACGTGTTACTCATGTAATTTTACACACTTATGGGTGTAAAAATTAAACAAGTCACAAGTGTGTAAAAAATTTCATATAAATCTAATCGGCAAATCTAATTCTCGCACACTTACGTGTGCAGAATTTTTACACACTTGTGACTTGTGTAACTTTGGCACATATTTATGCGTATAAAATTACACTAATAACACGTATAAATTACAAATGTAAGAAGTGATTGCACAAAGTGTATATAAAATTATACACTTGGATTTGCAGTGCGCAGTCAGCCCAAGCTCGCGTAATCCGACTGAACGATTATTTGGCGTGATCGAGATTACCTCTTGATCATCACGGTGCACCTCTTTCATTATTTCGATTCATTCGTCGCAAGCGCGCGCGGGATGCGCCTTTGCGAATCGAGCTCTCTCTCTCTCTCTCTCTCTCTCTCTCTCTATCTATCTCTCTCTCACCCTCAAAATTCCGAGGGACGACAGGGAGCAGAGAGGGAGCTTCAATTGACTCGTGAGCTATGTGCTTCCAACGAACATCATCGAAGTAGACACTAGAACATCTTGGCAAGAAAGTGCGGAGAAAGTTTTAAGGCATAGGTCTTCTTAAGAATCGGCGATTATTCTCGTATAGAAGTGTATATATATATATATATGTATATATATATATTTTTTTAATAGCGCTCTAGATATAGAATCTTCTCTGTGCGCCGATAAATCTCCTCGATATTAAGCAATCAACTCGCGGTTACTCGTCGATAATCCTAAGAGAGAGGAGAAACTCTAAATAGAGCAGTCGAGAACGCTAGCAGAACGATCCTTAGGCGAGAGAAATAAACGTTATTAATAGATAGATAGGGATAGTGGAATATGAGAACGCGATAGAGAGAGTTTTAATTCCGCAAGAACTCGCGTCTCCTTCGTACGTTTAACGTTCTTCTTCTTTTTTCATTTCTTCTTCTTCCTCTTCTTTTACCGCGTCGTCGTCGTCGTCCAATATCCGTAATATGTACGCTGATAATAACATGATAAACTAGTAACGTCTCGTATTAATCCTTAACTTCGTAAATCTTATAATTTAGGAAGAAGTATCACGACAAACACGAGCAGCGCAATGCTATCGATACTCGTCCCGCTTCGACGAACGAACCTTTCTCGCGTTTTTTATATATATACACACACACACACATCTCTATCTTCTCTTCCCTCCTTTGATATTCTTCTCCTCTTTCTTTTCTTCTCGGTGTGCGTTTTCTCGCGAAACGGCGCGCAACTTTTCGCGAAGACGGCGAACTGTCGCCCTGTAACTTCTCGATGACGTAAAAAAGGAGATCAATTCGCGATAGAGGAAAGAAAAGAAGAGAAAAGAGAAACAGGAGAGAGAGAGAGAGAGAGAGAGAGAGAGAGAGAGAGAGAGAGAGNGGGATAGACAGATAACAGGAATGAGATTGGGAAAGCTTTCGCGCTTCGGTGCACGTTTCTTTCGTATCTCGCGATCGCACCGGATGTTAGAATGATGCGGAGGTGCGGAGGACGGAAACGAGAAAACTTCACGGGGATGGAAAGCTGCGGGAGAGGGGAAACGTACGCGCGCTCTCCGGGAAAAATAGCGCAGTTCGCATGACCGAGGCAGGACGTTCGAGAACGGAGACGCGGCTATGTTGCGAAAAAAAGCTATCACAACCGTCTGTCCTCCTACGAAATGTTTCTCGTTTTCGACACGAGGAATACGCATAACGATACGATGCATACGAACGAAACTCCCGGAAACTACCCGTCGCACACTCGCTGAAAAAAGAATTTGGTAACAATTATCAAGATTTGATTAAACAGTCTCATCGAAATTCTTTTGATCACTGCAACCAAATCATTTAGCACCGTATACGCGGTACATTCGCGGTCGAAAATTTGCAGGTGGATTTACCCACGGAAATCCACGGAAAATCATATGAATCCATGTGGAATAATAAAAATCCATACATGGGATTAGGATAGGAGAGGATCAAAATCCTTTTTTCAGTGCACGTGTTCGTCGCCAAATCTTCACGGTTTCAGGCAACAGCGGCCGAACAAATTTCCCCGTCGAACGACGGGTCGGGGAATGTGTGCATTTGCGTATTTGCCTCCGCGATTTCGTTCACGCCACGAGCGCGGTTTTCCTCCTCGAAACCGGAAGAACATCTTTACGAGGCGCAATACGTTTCACGAGCAGTATCATTCTTGCGCCAGCCGGAATTCGCACCGCGCGACACGGCGATTGCGCGAGAAGGAGCTCGACCGGGGGGAGGGGGAGGGGCTCGATTGTGTTACCTCAAAACATGGTGAGAATTACGGAAGTGAACGCTCCTCCTTTGATTGAGTAATTTCCACCATGACGAAAATGCGATATATTTCACGTGAGATTGCTCGATCGGGCAATTGCCCGTCAAATGGCATCCACTGATGTCGCAGGGATACCATATTCTCGGGGTCGATTGTGCACCTCAAAACATACACAGTAAAAAATTTAGTATAAACGACGGTCCGTTGAAATTTTCGTGTTAACTTAACGAGGTGAATATGTTAACATATATTTGTATACTTTTTAATATATTCCCGTGTTAAGGTAGCACAAAAATGTTAGTGAACCGTTATTAACACAAAATTGTCTATTGCGTAGTAAGGATTACAAAAGTGAATTTACTAGAATATTTGTAATTTCAGTAATCGATGTCTAGTGAATATGCTCATTTTTATAATTCTTACTACGTTTTAAGATGAACAATCGACCCCCCCCCCCCCCCCCCCCC